GCTACTTTTATGCGTTATGTTGAGTTTGAGGTCTGGCGCCCTATGAGACGGTAAACGTATGCAGCCATTTTCGAAATTCTAACTAAAAGTAGACACTCATTTTTTAATCGATGTCTTCCGTGGCGTTGCCGTCTTGATCGCTTAAAGCTCCTTATGGTCGCAAGGTGACGGGAGGTCTGAGAGGGGTCTGGTACCATAATTATGAAGGCTCTCACTTTCTGTCTCACGTTCCTTAAGAAGGCGCTGGACCCGGACGAACTCTTACGGAATTTGCGAGAGGCCCGCAATATGCAGGGCCAGCAGTGATGATGAGAGACTGCCCACGAGTTATAATAATTATCAAAAGTTCAAACCTTAAAGTCAATCGGTATCTATCCTTGAAATACTCTGCAACAGTTGTTTTGTATGTGCGACATGTTCCCTCGTCTGTGACATCAAACTGCATCCTGTCGGCTGATTTTGCTGACACGCCCCAAACTGCGTACTTCCTCTTGATAGGGGCAGCATGAGTGGTTTGTATACGAATTCCTTAAACACACATACCCCAGAAAAAAATTACATGTTAGTACTTTTAACAAAAAAAAAATCAAGGAGATCTTAAAATTTTACGAAGTTATTCAGTTTAATTCAATTTTTTTATTATTATACGAGAGCTTATTACAAAGAAAATCAAAACTTTAAGTCCTCATGACAAAAACAGCACTATTAAGCTTCTTTCAAAAATTATTAATGATGTCAAAGTGGATATGGCCTCAGCATCTAATAACAGAAATGTAGAGAGTTCAAGGCTGTTTATATGCCAGTAATTCTAATGTACTCCATTTTAATTTTTAGTACACCATTATTTAACTCAGAGGCCAAATTTTGTCTATGTGACCTTTGGTAGTGAGTTTAGTTATTAAAACTACATTTCATGTTTTCAAAATCAAGTGAGCACCCACTGTGAGGACCAAAGGACCAAAATTACCCCCGTGTGAATTTCTCTATGTTCACTACTGCACAGACCTCATTACTTCGATTGAATATGCTATACAATTGCATGCAATTAACAATGTTTTTATGACCACTATTACAGAAAACATTTGAAGTGACAGAGGTCACATGACCTAAAGGACAGGAAGCACTGGAAAACAGGAGACCACTTTCATCTATGCAGGGTATGAGAGCATGCCCAATGTTCCACCCTTTCCATGAGTGTTCATATATGATTAAAATTCAAATCTAGTTTACAAAAATATTTTTTCATTTCTGTTTGTGACTAATTAAAAAATAATTATTCACATCAGTCATTTTCTGACTGAAATTGGTGGATATTTACATTCTGGCTTTTCAGCTTGGTATAAACCCATCAAAATTCACAACCCCCCACCATTTACAAACTATCACAATGAAAAGACCTGTGCATAAACATTTATCATAATGATCGTTACGGTACAATAGACAAAGTAACTAACCGCGTATGGCTTTCTCAAGCCTCCGTCTGTCTGGTTCAAATCTGTGATCTTCAAGATTATAGGGTTTCACATCAAGGGTTTCACACAAGAAATCAGGAACAACAGCTTGATCCTTGTAAAAGCCTTTTGCAGAGACTGAAAGTACAAAAAATGATTCACAATAAATTCACAGAGACTTTCACNATTAAGGTCATAAGAATACATATGTGTAATCAAATGGCGACGAGTGAAATTAGGAAATAGTTTCACGCGTGTTTTATCAAAATTCTGATAATTTCCCGACCCTTTAGGCAAAGGAAATTATCAGAATTTTGACAAAACGCAAGTGAAATTATTTCCTAATTTCACGAAAAACCATTTGATTACCTTTCAATATCGCGGGTGACAAATTACATCTTGTTTACACACGGAGGCGTAAAATCGCTCGAGTACTTTATCGAAGTGCTCGGGAAGAGTTTTTCTCAAGGTTTTTCTCAAGGCTATTTTCGTCACACCACTTCTCAAAAACTTGCACCCAGTTAATTGTGCTCTTTCGCATATTTAAATTTTCGGCAGCTTCTTTTAATTTTGTAACTTCTTCAAGGGTCACCGTCTTAAATCTCGACGCTATCTTGGCTCTGATCGAGATACAAGATATGTTACCATGGCAATTTTGTAACTTCACATGTGAAATTAAAAATTAACGCTGAAATTTCGCGCCAAAATTAAGGAATAATTTGTCACCTATGATATTAAGGAAATAATCACCAACTAAAAAGGTTCTTGACTGTTAACTAAATTCTCCTAATTGGGACCTTAGGAATTGCATGAAGAACAGTATGGAGAATATCCATACTGATCACAGGGTGCAAAGAGTTAATGGTTAATGATCGAGAATAGGAAAGCTCAATTTCAAAGGAAATATTGCCTCCTTTCCAGAATTACAGTATACTCTTGATTACAAATTTCTTGAGACTTGAACATTACTGAGTAGACAACATTTGAGGATGTATTCCACAAATATTTCAAAGCAATATGGCAAGATCATGTTATTTCTATGAAGTATTACCAATAACAACAACCTACCATCAATGTTCACCAGCATTGCCTTCCACTCAGAATGCCGGATACTTGAATAAAAACCAAATTTCACTTCACATCCCTCTCCAAGGGGTCTTCCTTGACCATCAAATGGAAAGAATGATCTTCCAACAGGGGTGTAAGACATTGATAGCATCTGTCGCACCACAATGTCCAATGCTTGGACTGCATCCTGAGGTATTTTGCCATTCTGTTTTCCACTCAAAAAGTTGTTAAGTTCCAAAAGACTCACTGTAGCAGCTAACTGAATTTTAACCTAGGAAGTAAAACAGAAATAAATGTTAAAAATTATTTAAAACTATTATCCACTTGAATCAGTACATGCTGCCAACAATTATTAAAAATTAAGCAATGATAATGCTTCCAGTGCAAACGTTACAAAAATTATCTGAACTGTACAACTTTAAAGATCTGCAGGTAGCATTTCATCTTGAGTATCAGTTAAAAATTGTGATTGTCATCCATATCATAAGTGACTAAATCATGAGACAAACAATAATACTTCATTATTTTAATTGCACTTTACCACAATGATTGAGCACAACATTTTTTAAGCACAACCTTTTTGACAGAATATGTCAAGTTTACTTATAAACCGATTGTTTATCACCCATTCACTACAGAGTGATTGCATCCAAAACAGGACTATCACCAAGACAAAATGTCTTGTCCTGTAGCATGATCACCTGTCTCTTTTGTGTAACATGGGCAAAATTTCAAAATTATTTAAAAAATGTCTCCAATCACTTTTAGATGCAGAACTTTATCAGATATTCTGCTAAATACAATTTAGACTTATTTCCTGTTTATTTCTTAGGATTTCTCTGAATTTTCCAAATTACCCATAATTCCTTGTGGGTGTGGCTGATATGTAAATGAAGGGGAAAACTCATTACTATTTGTCAAAATCAAAACATTTCTTGGCAACTTGATGCATTCACTACAGTGATGCTATAATTATATCGTTGACTTCAATGGGAACTTGAAAAATTCCCTTTCTGAACTGCGAAAAAGATGATGTAATACCACATGTATTTACAGCCCTTAAGAATTTGTCTTGAGGACAAAAAGACAAGGTTACCAAGCCAAACGGAGTAATCGCAGTGATTCCAACAAAGAACGAAGTGAAAGAGAAGCGTGCGCTGAACGTTTTCCCCCTATTTTGGCCCTAATTGCTGTCTGTTGTCTAAGAATGAACACATAATATGGCGGACAACTTGTTTCCAAGTCACAGAGTACATTTTCTCTGCTTTGGCGGGTCAAAAAGCGTCCAAACTCAAGGAGTTGGAAGACCAGTCCATAACTGTATGGGAAGGAGTTAGTGTTTACATATTACTGCCTGACTCAAATTATTTTGCCTCATGTAGTGGTAAGTAGAATACCCAGAACATCTTATTAAGCAGCTTATAAGAGTGTTTCCGATTTACAAAAATGTTAATATCTCGCTCAAAAAGAGATAATTTGCCTTGATGTTTTCAGACGTCATAAAAGACCTTATGAACTTGCTTCAGTACTGATATTTTGAGTATTTGATGTATTCAAGAGTTTTCCTCTTCAATCAATTTTCGTCACCAACGTTAAAGTTTTGCAAGCGTTACATTTCTCCATTAGGTAAACTGGGGCAATGCTTTGTATCATAGTTTCTCAGAAATTAAAGTGAGAATGATCTATAAACTTTTGTGTTATCATTTTATTCTACTGGTTCATGGGAATTGGTGAACTTCGTGGTAAACCTTTGTAAAGGAGAGAAATCTTGGCCTCATTATATCTTCATACCAGTCAGATGTTGTGCGTTACATTACAAATTAGCGTGGTTCTGTTCACTTCTTACCAGTAATTTGCTATTTTCATGATTTATTTCTCAAAATTTAAAATTTCTTCACAAAGCCTTAACCTTTTTCAAAGTCCATTTCAAATTTGAAGTGAAAACCAGTTGCCATTGGTGAGAAATTTCTATTTATTACTGTCTCACCCCAAACATGACAGGTGATTATGCTACAGGTCATAATTATCTGTGATTTTGGATACATAGTATATCGAAGCAAATGCTAACCTTGAAAACCCTGTCTCTACCTCCATCTTCACCTGGTAGTTTAACTTCAAGTTCAGCCTGTAAGTCACACAACAAAAGAAAAACAACTTCTTAACTCACAGGAGATTCTTGGATTAAAGTGTTGAAACTAGTCCAGTGTTGACTGAAGATATATTATTACCAAGTGTACAATAAACGTGTAGGCATCAAAATTAATATATTCCAAGTTTTTTTTTTTTTCCATGGAGACCCTTGTTTGAGGTTGGATTTGTTAATGATTAACAATTGCTTAATTAAATATTTCTCACAAAATCATGTCCATCATACTTCTTTTATGTAAGTAGTGAAAGTTTACATATACCGGAATGTTGCAGGCCAAAGTATATTGTTTTCAAGATAATCTGGTTTTATCAACCGAGCTGATAATGTAAATTGGGCAGCATCCTGAGTTTGTAAAGCTTAACTTTCTAGCATTGGCCATTTATCACCTCTTAAACAATCTACTTTGCAAAGGATAACCCATCAGTGAAGGGGTGCAAGGCTGTGCTCTAAGGAAAATTGAATGGAGCCCAGTGCTTTGAAACCATGAAATCCAGGGTGCCGAGCAAATGCTTTCTGTGAAAAAACTAAAATTCCTGAGTCACCCAAGAGCAAAAGTAAGGCACCAGGGGCCACCAGGCGCTGCTAGACCACAGCCTTGGGGGTTACTACAGTGTATCACACTAAGAAAAACTGTTGATAAAAAACTCACAGAAACAGGCAGCTTTATCCTGCTGTACAGATTCTTTTCACCATCAAAAGCAGGATGGTGGCCTTGAAATGTTGTCTTTTTGTACTTATTTATGATTTCATTTACAACATCTCTCTTAACACGTTTGGGACATCTCTCAGGAGTTATTTCAACGTCATAGTGATACAGGTCTGAAAGCCCCGGTGAGACATTGAGGCGGAAGAAGTTTGCTCTCAAAGGTATAGGGCGGCCTTTTGTACCATAGCCTGGTCTTTTAGGAGGACGTGGGCCACCATTTCCTTGGGTTTGACGAGTAGTATGTCCTAAGAGAGAATTAAAACATACATGATCAGTTAGCTTTTAAGAACAAATGAATTTAAAAAGCATAATTATTTGTTTCTTGGAAATTTAAACTGAAAATCCAAATCCCAATTAAAGTAACTATGTACAACAATATTCAACTGCAGTTAATGGGGACCATTTTGTGTCATTTTGAAGAAGCAAGCAGGTGCTGTGGAAGTCAATATGATATTTTATCCTTATTTTCCTTCAGTCAGACAAGTTCTTCCTCTAAAATAGAAAGCATCTGAGATTCAACAAACATTACAATTGACACTAGTAAAATTCCCTAAATGGTTGACATTATAACTGATATCAAATTACACCTGCTTCAACAAAATCAAACTAAAGACACATTTTAATATGATGTGGCTTTCAAAGAAATCTCCACAACTGTTTAACTCTTAACTCCTAAGAGAGAGTAGCATCTTCTTTCTCCTTACAAAATCACCCCTGAATCGCACATTTGAGTCATGAGAATATATGAAATGATCATCAACTAAAGAAGCTCTTGCAGTACATGGCTTGAACCCGGGGGTAACATGTGAAAATGTCGTGTGATCGTCCGGGTGAGTGTAGTCCTGTAGTCCACTGTTGTCGGTGGTAGTGACTGATGTTTTGACAACCTGTGCGGAAGTCATCATCAGAGTCAAGTGAATAGTTGTTGTCAGCAGAATGTTCTTATTTCAGTTTGTTGTAAAATGTTGGTCAGTTTTGCCATGATGTTATTGGCTGTAAGACTCAAGTGGCATAAGTCTGTCATGATTGGTCTGTTTTGATCCGTCCGTAAAGTTAGGTCGTTCTGTTTGGTTCATTTATAATGTTTATGTCGTGAATGAGTCGTTTGTATCGAACCGTTTGTAAAGAAGCTCTTGATTGCCACACAAATTCTCCTGGTCAGCACCCTAGGAAATGTGTAGAGAACAGTATGGAGAATATGCATACTGATGTCAGGGTGTAGGGGGTTAAGAAAAAAATTCTTAATGAATGGCATTCAAGGTCTTTTTTTTGGCAAGAAACACGTTTTAAGTGAAAAAAGTGTTGCACTCAACATAGTCAATGGTAAAGGTGAGCATCGAGTTAAAGGCTTTTTAAAGTACCTCCACTTCCCAGAGAAGAACCTAGCTTTTTTGTGAGATTTTCAACTTCTCTGTTCAATGCTGCACTACTGCTTGTCACAGTAGCTGAAGTTGGGGTGGTGGCACTAACAGATTTCGTTGATGAGGCATCAGCTGCAGTAGCACCTCGAAGCAAAGTGGAAGCTGTTGATTAAATAGAAAATAGATTCCATTAACTGGTGGAGATTAACTTAGTATCTTGAAAAGAGATAAAGTTCACATCATCTGACAGTGTAAAAAGTCATTATAACACAGGATTTCTAAAAGTTCATTTCACATCATTCACAAAGAATGTTCTCTCTTTTGCCCCCCTTGCTTTTTTAGTTTTGTTTCGTTTAACTGCATCGCCTAATAGAATCTGTCATCGATCAGCGTAGATCTGATCTCAATCAAAGTTAAAAAATAAACTCTATGAAGTTTTATTGAAATCTGATGATTACCTTGATATCACTGAAATTATGCACCAATTAACTAAAATTTAGATAGCTCTGAATGCAACTTGACTTTTATTTTCTGTGTAATTCACATTGCCACTTCTGTGTCTTAATATTTTAACTGAGACCATAATTTCATTTTGCGACAGCTGGTACTGATTGTAAAATATTTCTCGTCTTTTCCTCTCTATAAGCTTGTGTACCTCTTCCCCTGCCTCGATTAGGCTCTTCTATATGCGGGTGGAAGCTAATATGAAATTATAATTTGTAAATTAATGAATAAAGTTTGTTGTTGTTGTTGTTGTTGTTTTGTTTTACTTTTTTTCTCTCTGGGAAATGTGACATTTTCTATGGATTCCGATGTGATTATGAACTGGATTAATTTGATGCATTAAACTGTGGCATGGAACATCAGAGGCCTTGAATTTTCAGCAAAAGAGCATATTATAGGAAAATTCATCACCCGATGAGGGAATTCCACATTAAATTGCACGCGAAAACCGATATCGCACGAATCACGAAGCAATGAGTGCGATATCGGTTTTCAAGTGCAATTTAATGCAGAATTCACGAGTCAGGTGATTAAGTTTCCTTGAATCGCATCATTGAATAAAAATAGGAAAACAAGAAAACAGCAATAATTTTGTTTGTTTTTATCCTCAGCATGCACTCCAGAAAGCCATTTCAAAGTCAACTGTCAGAACTGTCATTGTGTTAGCGAATAGTAAGCAAGCTCAATGTACACGTTTCAACCTCAGACATCTTTTATTTAAACCTTGTTTTCACATTCGTTTTCAAACTTTTTGAAACAAGCTTCAAACCATCAAAGGATAATGGTGGTATTTCAATGCGGAATTCATGAGTGAAGTAATGGATTTTCCTTGAATCACATAATAAAATAAAAATGAGAAAAAGATAGGGGAACAGCATTACTAAAAATTGTTATGCTTACGTAGATGCGAAACAATTAACAATTATTCCACAAGCGCGCGTTGGATATGAGATGATAGATAGCCAACGAGGCGCGTAGCGCCGAGTTGGCTATAATCATCTCATATCCAACAAGCACGAGTGGAATAATTGTTTTATTAAAAACGTTAAATTAAATTATTAAATTTTATCAAATTTTTAGCTCCCTTATAATTTTAAGCTGACACGCACGCTTACCATATTTGTAGATTATGGTATATTGGCTGATATACCATAATGGCTAAGCCAATAAAAAGTCTTGAATTGCATTATCCAATGATCTAGTTTTTAATAAAAAC